GCTCAGAAACTCCAAGCTCAGTCCAACCTGGTTTTGCATTTGGTGTGTTGAATCTACTTTTCTAAGTAAATATACTTTTTGATCTGTGTATGTGTGAGAAAGGGGGTGGGGAACTACACCAGGAATATTTTTACTATAATATTGGAAATAAAATGTATAATCTGACAATTCAATCCAGTAGACAGTATAGTGGCATATGTCTTTAATAACAACACCCAAAGGGAGAGACCCATGTAGATGTCTTGTTCAAGGCCAGCCAGAACTACATAATGGAATCCTGTCTCAAAAAAGAAAAAAAAAATCTAGTAACTGAAAGTATAGCTAGGCATGGTGGCACACACCTGTAATCCCAGTACTTGGGAATTAGAAGCAGGAAAATCAAGAGTTTACTCATTGAAACTGGGCTTGGTGGCATATGTTTTTAATCCCATTACTCTGGAGGCAGGGCCAGGTAGATTTCTGTGTTCAAGGCCTCGCTGGTTTATAGATCCAGTCCAGAGCAGCCAGGGCTAAACAAAGAAACCTTGATTCGAAAAATAAAATGAAAATAAAAAGTTCAGTCTTCCTAAACTACATAATTCAATGTCTACCTAAACTATATGAGACTGTCTCATATAGTAAAATAACAGTAAATAAAATGTAGTAGGGACATAGGCAAAGCTCTTTTCACTCCCTTTTACAAGAATTTGAACCCAGGTCCTAATGTATGTTCGCCAAGTGTTCTATTGTTGAGCTTTATCCCTAGTGCTTCCATTTGTGTATGTATTTAAGAAGGGTCTCACTGAGCTACCCAGGCTACTTGATATCCTGGACCAGAAGGTGTTTCACTAGGTAAAGACTGCTACAACAAGTCTCAGCAACTTAAATTTGATCCCATAGACCCACATAGTGGTAGAAAACCTGGTCTGGCAACCAGAAGTTGTCATGTGACTTCCATTCATGCACCATGAAATGTATATATTAATGTGCACACAAGATGTAATTAGAAAAAAAGTAGGCATGGCAAATGGCTATAATCTTAGCACTCAGGGAGCAGAGTGAGGCAGGCAAGCCACTTTCTGAGTTGAAGGTCAGTCTGAATAACAAGTTCCAGGGTTAGCATGTCTCAAAGAAAAAAGAAGCAAATATAATAAATTTGAAATGCTTTTGCCTCATCTTCTCAAGTGGCATGCATCATCAAGCTTAAAACTTGTGTACCTAGCCAGCCTTGGTGGCACACACACCTTTAATCCCAGCATTTGGGAGGCAAAGGCAGGTGGATCTTTGAGTTTGAGGCCATCCTTGTCAACAGAATTAGTTCCAGGACAGCCAGGGCTACACAGGGAAACCCAATTTTGAAAAACCAAATTAAAAAAAATAAACCTGTATACCTGCCACCATAATGGAAATAGGTCTAGGTCCTTGCAAGTGTTAGGCAAGTATTCAACTAGATTATATCTCAGGCTCTTACCAGTTCATATTTTGATCATCCTTTGATCTCAGAAACAAACTCAGATATTAAACAGTAGTTAAGTAGCAGCCAGATTCATTCTATGAACAAATTCAGATGTATTTCGTCCTTGCTCTCTACGTTGTAGATGTGTGTGAAGCAATGATTTATAAAGTAGGACGGGACTCGGCACTAACCTTTCTTATGTAGCTCACTGTGTAAGATGGAGAACCAGTGCTCGGAGTAGCACCCCACAGCTGTCAATACTAGAGTTCAGTCCATTTGCCCAGGTAATATTTACTGTGAAACTACTACACACACAATGAAATTTCATCAGCTGAAAGACTTTCCTTGATTAGATAAAAATGAGAGGAGCAGTGAAGATGTGGTTCAGTGATTAAGGACACTTCTTACTCTTCCAGAAGACCTGAGTTCTCGTCCCAGCACCCACATTGAGCAACTCACAAATTGCTTGTAATTCTAGCTCCAGGGCAGACATGCTGGTGCACACCTTTGATCCCAGCACCTGGGAGGCAGAGCCAGGTGGATCTCTAAGATCAAGGCCAGCCTGATCTAGAAAGCAAGTTCCAGGACAGCCAGGGCTACACACAGAGAAAGCCTGTCTTGAAAAAAACCCTCTAGCTCCTGTGGCCTTCCAGGACACCTACAGTCATGTGCAGATAAACACATAATTTTTGAAATAATAAGGTGATTTGAAAAGACTGGGCCAGGGACTAGAGAGATGACTTGGAGGTTGAGAGCATTGGCTTTCAGAGGTCCTGAGCTCAATTCCCAGCAACCACATGGTGGCTCACAACCATCTATAATGAGATCTGTGGTGCCCTCTTCTGGTGTGTAGGCATACATGCAGTCAGAACACTGTATACATAATAAATAAATCTTAAAAAAAAAAAAAAAAGAGACTGGGCCAATAGTCCTAACTACTTGAGAGGCTGAAGGGGAATCACTTGACCCCAAGTTCAGAACAAGTCTGAACAATAAAATGAAATGCTCTCTTAAAAAATAACCCCAAGGGGGCTAGAGAGATAACTTGCTCAGTGGTTAGGAGCACTGTTTGTTCTTCAAAAGGACCCAAGTTCAATTCCCAGTGCCCACATGGCAGTTCACAATTGTCTGTAATGCCAATTCCAAGGGATCTGACACCTTCACACTAATGCACATAAAATTTAAAAAACAAACCCAGATTAGAGGTGAGGTTCATTGGCAGAGTACTTGGCTAGAAAGAATGGGTTAAGGCCCAGGTTTTCTTCTCAGCATTACCAAAACACAAAATTACAGTATTTTTTTTCATGTCCTTAAAGTAACTTCTACAAGACCCACTCATAACCAGGCAGTGCTGGTGCATGCCTTTAGGGGAGCAGAAGCACAGTTTGAAGCTATCCTCAAACTCTAGGACAGCCAGGGCTATACAGAACCACCTGTCTCGAAAAACTGAAAAATGAATAAAAGACCCACTCATATACTATTGACAAACAGCTTGTAACCTACATAAAATTCAAAGTGTAAGTTATTAAGAAATAATGAAGCACTGAGCCATATGGTGACAGTGAGGCAGAGGAGGTCACAAGTTCCAGTCCAGCTTCAGCTACATCTCAATCCCATAGCAAAAAAAAAAAAAAAAAGTTCTTGTGCATACTTAATGTGGTATGTATGTATGTATGTATGTATGTGCATGGGCTATGGAACTCAGAGGTCAGTATTGTCAGTCCCTTGGTCACTCTCTACCTTTGAGCCTAAAGTTCCTGAGAGGCTGCCTGTCTCAGCACACCCCCTAGTGCTGGGTTTACAGGACATCCCACCACTCCTAAGTTCTTAGGCAATTGTTGGGAACCCAAACTCAGATCTCTTTTGCTTTTCAGGCAGGTACTTACTGAGCCATCTCTCCAGCCCTGACCTGTAGAGGAATTTTAATTCAGAACATGGCTGCTCTGGCAAGAGAGCACATCCAAAGACCTATTCTGTGTAATCAGGCTGGAATATAAACACCCCTTTAATCCAGGAGACAGAGACAAGCAGATCTGAATTCAAGGCCAGCCGTATATATAGAGCAAGTTTCAGGTAAAGAAAAGCTTAGATTCAAATATGGTGGTACATACCTTTAATCCCCAATCAAAGTAGTTTGTAGAAGGAAGCGCCCATGTTTGGAAGTGATATTTAACTGAATGGCAGAAAAAGTGATGAATCAGAGAAAGATTTGACAGAATAGGAAATGACCGACTCTTAAGTAGCTTCCCTTTCTTTTCTCTTAAGAGGCAATGCAGAGTAAGTGAGGAGCTGTTTTACAGAAAGATTAAATCAGAGAGCAAGCTAGACACAGGTGAAGACAGAACTAGCATAAAAAAGAGCCAGAAGGTTAGAAAAGATTGCTGAAGTTGGAGGCCAAGCAGAGCAATTCAGGAGCAGAAAGAGAAGCCAGATTGAATAAATCAGCTGTAGAGTCAAAGACAGCCAGTCAGAGTTCAGAAAGAACTAGAAAGGATGAGCTTTTTAAGCAAGAAGTCTCCAGGCCTAGGTTAGATTACACGAAGGCTAGAATCTTCCACAACTAGGCCTAGGTAAGCAGACAGAGGCAGTAAGACTCCAAGACAACAATACCAAAGGAGAATAAAAGTTCCTTTTACAATGATCCATCATTTTGATAATCTATATCCCCATCTCTAGAACTTTAATTTTAACTCCAGTTGCCTGTGAATGGAGTTGGTAACTTAAAAGCCACTAAATAGGAGCTAATCTTTTGTTATTCATAAGCTAGCCTGGAGAGTTGGGAAGGGTGGCTGAAAGTGCAGCTCCCAAATGTTGTTAGTGAAGTGATCTGAATTTGAAAACAGCCTGGGCTTACACAGGAAGGAAATATCTTGGAAAAAAAAATGCGTAAGCTATCTTAGAAACACATGCATTTGGATCTTTTGCAGAGCGTCCAAATTTACCAAGAGCTAGTCAGGAGAGTAAGACCAAGGTACCACCTAGAATCTGTTACTTGGGGCGGCTGAGATGCTTTGGTGTGCAAAAGGGTACTTGATTCCCATATGGTGGAAGTGGAGTTGTCACCAAAACAAAAGCAATATGAGAAACCAATGTCCAGACACTACACACACAAAAGGGTAATAAAAATAGAGCCTGTATTTGAACATTAGGTACTTCTTTATATTGATTGTTCATACAGTTTCATTAAGGTCCAACATAGAAACTGACAACAAAATAGAATATATAAAGCATTTGATCTGAGATGAAAATGAAAAAAAAAAAAAAAAAAAAAAAAGAAAAAAAAAAACTTTTTTTTAGCAAAACAGTCCAGAATGTCTGAAAAAGCACATTATCAGTTGGTTAGGGCAATAAGAGCCTCCACCACATTGCCCATGTGTTCCCGCAAGCTCCTTTCTGCAGCTGCTCGAGAGATCTCCATCTCTGTCATCTGCAAAAAAAAGGGGGGGGGGTATATCATGTCACTGACGCCTCTTCTCAGGCATAAATATGCCAACAAATTTCTAGTTCTACTTGTTTCAGGAACCCAAATTCGGAAGAACTTTCCTTTAACTCCATTAAAGCATTACTACTCACTATCAACTCCAGATCTTCCTTCTTGATAGTGACCTTCGCCAGTTCCTTCTCCCTGCAAATATATATGTGATATATATATATATATACACATCTGTCTTCATTCTCTACCTCTGTATAGACTCCCAAAAGGAACACTCCCAGCTACATACATACTGTAACTGAGTAGAACAAGGTTGATTGAAAATATCAAATAAAAGTGCCCACCCTTGCCCCTGCGGGTTGTTTGCCCCCTTGGTTCTTTGAGACAGGATTTTTCTGTATAGTCCTGGCTATCCTGGAACCGGGCTGGCCTCGAACACGCAGAGGTCCGCCTGCCCCATCTCCCTGCTGAGGTTAGAGGCTTGCGCCACCACCTACCCGCCTCCCCTGAGGTTTTACAGTAAGGTATCCGTTAGCCTTCCCTTCCACTAACAACAAAGTTGTAAACCATAGATCTGCTGGAATTGGTTAAAGATTTATTTTTTTTTTCCTGGCGAGCAAGGACCGGTAGCGCTGGCAGTGTACTTTAAACTTACCGCTCCTGTTTGGCCTTTTGTTCCCTGGACCTTCTGTCTCCAATGACTGACATAGCCTGAAGGAAACACGAATCTAGTTACCTACCACCGTGCGACCCAGAAACGCAAAACCAAAAATAAAAACCATTTGGTGGTTCAACTACTTATTCGCAATGACTAGAGTTCTCAGGACCAAAGGACTACATTTAATTCCGTGCACTGCAGATCCAGTTGGGCCCAATCTCCATCAGACTCTTGAGAAAACCGCAGGCTGGGTGGGTGCTGTCGCTCAGACCCACCACACTGCCAAATCCCACCATCACGATCGGCGGTCCCGGAGCCGTGGCGAGCAGCAAACCGATCATTCTCATCTCACCCTTTAACCCATTCTCCAGCCCACGCCTCCAAGCTCCCGGCCAACCTCACCGTCTCCAGATTCGAACTCTGGATCTCCTTCTCCTCCGCATAGTCAGTGACCCGCTCCAGGTCAGCAGCACCACTGTCATGCTTCCGTGGCTTCTCGGGAGGCCGCTCCGGGCCGCTGGTCTCGGTCTCTAACTCCAGCTCCACATCACCCTCGGTCGCCATTTCGATCTCACCGCGCCGCCGCATAGGCTGCTGCTTCACAACTTCCGGCAACCCTCCGCTTCCGCCCGAGAAGGGGCGGGGCAAGCGCTGGACCACACCTTTGTGACTCTCTTGAGAACAGCTACCGCGGCGGTTCGCTTTTGACTTCCTCACGAGCTCGTTTTGTGCAAAGTCTCCTTCGACTATCTGTTCAATAGCCACACCACCCAAACGCACAACCTTACTTCTTCACCTAAAAACAATCCCTTCTCTCTCTCTCTCTCTCTCACACACACACACACAATTCTGCCCAACAAAGGCTGCCAACAGCTAATCCTAAACCAATTAAAATATCTAATCCCCAGACCAGATAGGCCAATTGCTCCTAATCTCACAGTCCGAATGATCCAGAATACGAAGCCCAGCGAAGACATCTTCACAAGGCTATTTGCATTTACCACTTCCTGGTGATCTGTATTTATTTTCTGATATGTCCATTCTGCTGCCTTAAGACGAGTGATTAGCCCAGCAGAACAACTGCCCAATGGGCGAAAATCTTGAGAAGCTGTTGTTCCTCATCAGCTTTTGCAGTAATGGATCTACGCCTAACCTCTGGGCCAAAAATTACAGATGCAAAACTCATCACAGGCCGGAGCACCACCCCGGACCTTGCACAGCAGCACGGTGGAGTCAGCGATGTTGTAGTGAAAACCCCTTTCAATCAGGTGAGACGGCATTTGGGAAGAGTTTTGAAGATGCCCATAAGCAAGATATAGCTAGGAAACTCGGGAGTTGGGGAGACAAACCTGTTCTTGGCCTCGATAATTGGTGAACCTCTCATCCCACATTCAGCATTAGGGAAAAGTAGGTGGTCAAGTCGACACTAAAGTTTGAGGTTCTGGCAATGAAATTCTTACTAGTGTTTAGTGAAAGGCAATCCTAAGTCGTTCATAACCAGTCAGATGGAAACGGTTTGGGAATTTGGCCTTCGGTTAACCCACACATAGTCTAACACCACCCCCCAAAAGCTCCACCTTGCTTCCTACATCTGCTCTATCCCCAGGTGTCCTGCTGTGGGCCTGTATCTTGGACCAGCTGCTGCCACTCTAGGCTGCCCTCTCTGTCAGAGTCTACTTGTAGCTGCTTGCTCTACATCCTTCTCCATGTGGGGGCCTCAGCAATCTGCTGCCTCCTGCTGTCCAGGAAGGTGTTAGAAAGGGTCTGGGGCAAAGCATGTGGGGTAAGTGGGCAGAGGTGGCAAAGTGCGAAGACCTGGACTGGGAACAGAGAGGGAGCAAAGTGAAAAGCTGGGACTAATCCATGCATTGTGACTTGCCTTTTCTCACAACCAAACTCCCTGCAGATCCAGATGCCCTCAGTGCTGTGTGCCCACCTGTTTGGCAACTCTGACTGTCCAGTACTCAGTGGCTCTGGGGCTGTGTATCGAGTATGTGCAGGAACTGCCACCTTCCACCTGCTGCAGGCTGTGCTACTAGTCCGCCTCCACTCCCCTACCAGCCCTCGGGCACAGCTACATAACAGGTTTGTGTATAACTTTTGGATAGGATGGGACAGAGGGAAGCAGACACAAGCTGGCTAAAGAAAACACCCGGATGAAGAAAGAGCACTGTAAAAAGATAGACAACAGGTTTATAAATCTCTGGGCTCTACGCTGAAAGTAACAAGGGTTACATGAGAACCTTCCATGAAGTGTTGCTCTGTTGTGACTTCCAAATGGGAGTTAGCACTTGGGACTACACGGGACTTGGGACTGGTCCCACCTCCCCTGTACTACCCACCTGCCATGATTTTTTTCTTTCCCCCTTTGCTTTTACTCCTCTATCTGGTTTTCTCTCAAACCCACTAAGTAGCTTCTGGAGCCTCAAGCTGTTGCTCCTGTTTGGTCTCTGCACCGTTGCCTTCTGCATCCCGGACGAGCATCTCTTCCCAGGTACTCTTCACCTCACACCCTCATCAGCAAGAACAGGCTTCCTACTCAGTAACAGGAAGCCGAGCTTACAGAATACCACACAGCTGTGATCCCAGCATTCAGGAGACTGGAGCAGATTGAGAGTTTGAGACCTACTAGGCTACCTGGGCTCTTAATCAAAAGGGGGGGTGGATGGATAGAGTGACACACCATGACCAGCTAGAGCTGAAAGTTCCAAATGGTGACTATTTTGCAGCCTGGCATTACATTGGCGTCTGTGGAGGCTTCATATTCATCCTATTACAGCTGGTTCTTATCACAGCCTTTGCCCACTCCTGGAACAAGAACTGGTAAGGAGCATCTAATCCCAAAGACTCCTCCCAAGGAGGTTGTCAGGAATTGCTGGATATGGAAAGACTGGGCAAAGGACATAGCAGGTATTGTTCCCATGGCCGCCCAACAAACAGTACCAAAACGCTCAGGAAACCAGATGTGAAGACACTCACTTGTGATCACAGCACTGAGGAGCTGGAAATAGGAGGGCCAAGAGTTCAAGGCCAGAATAGGATACATGATCTCACAAAAACCACAAGTAGAACTAGGCATTGTGGTGAGCCTCTTTAATCCCAGTACTCAGGGAGGCAAATCAGAGACCAGCCTGGTCTATACAGCAAGTCCAGGACAGCCATGGCTACACAGAGAAATCTTGCCTCAAAAAACTAAAAACAAAAAAAAAAAAGCAGGGTAGGGAGTCCAGGTCAGCCTTTTTTTAAAACAAAATAAAAACATGTAATCAAGAATGGTGACAAATGCTGGGGTGTGGTGGCACACACCTTTAATCCCAGGGCTCGAAAGGCAGAGGCAGGCCTGTGATTTCGGGACCAGCCTGGTCTACAAATCAAGTCCAGGACAGCCAAGGTTACCCAGAGAAACCCTGTCTTGAAATACAAAAAATGGTGACAAATACCCATAATCTCACCACTCAGGATGCTGAGGTAGGAGTTCAGGACCAACCTGAAATACATAGTGAGTTCAATGACAGTCCGATGTATATGGTGAGATCCTGTATCAAAACAAACAAAAAGTTCAAGAATGTACTATGTGGACCAGTGGGCTAACTTATCAGTGTCTGCTGGGAGACAGTGAATAGTCCATAATGGGCTGGCATTCTAAACCCTTACCCACTTCTCTTCAGGCAGACTGGCGCAGCCCAAGACTGTAGCTGGTTCCTGGGTGTGTTACTGGCCACCCTAGGATTCTACAGTATGGCAGGTGCGGGAGCCGTGCTAATGTTCCACCACTACACACACCCCGATGGTTGCCTGCTCAACAAGATGTTACTCAGTCTGCACCTTTGCTTGTGTGGCCTCCTCTCTCTCCTCTCCATTGCACCTTGCATCCGCCTCAGTGGGTATATTGGGTATATGCAATTTAAGTCCCAGATTTGGGGGTGGGGTGTGTCTCTTTGAGTAGTTTCCTTAGCCTTCTCCATCTCTGCTGCTTCTCCCACCCACTCTCCCCAGTGGGGAAGACAAGGGCAGGTGGAGGTAGAAGTAAAGTCACTGTCAACTAATGACACCTACTCTCCCCAGAGCACCCACACTCCGGCCTTCTGCAGGCCTCTGTCATCAGCTGCTACATCATGTATCTGACCTTCTCTGCACTGTCCAGCCGTCCCCCAGACACAAGTGAGGACCCAGACCACCAGTGCTGGTGCTGAAGCCCTTTTCTGTTCCTGCTGAACACCCAGCTTTCTTCTTAACCCTGTTCTCTTGTTGCCCCTCGGCAGTAACCTTTCAAGGACAGAATCACACCTTGTGCCTGCCAGGCCAGACTAAAAAGGAACCACATGTACCGAATACCTTGGTGGCAGTGCTGAGTGCTGCCATCATGTATGCTTGTGTGCTTCTTGCTTGGTATGTAAAGGTCCCCAGGGGAAGTGTGAGAGGATGCCCAGGACTCAGTGAAGGAGAATGTCCAGGGCTGTGGTTTATTTAAACTGTAGAGCAAGTCTAGAACCAGAAAAGCTCCCCACGAACAGGGACAATTTCTAAGAATAGCACTTTGTCAGATGATCTGTATGAGATGACTGGGGGCAGGGGAGAATGTTTTGAGTTTAAAAATTCACAAACTTTAGGGGCCTCTGGGAGCACAGTACCCTCCGGAAGGATATCAAATGTTGGCAGTAAATGCCACTAATCTTCCTCATTCCACCCAAAGTTACAAACTCTTTCTCTCACAGCAACGAAGCTTCCTATTTGGCTGAGTTATTGGGACCCATGTGGATCATCAAGGTTTACAATTACGAATTCCAGGTGAGGATCAACTCAAAACCCCCAGCATCCCCCCAAACACAGAGACACGCACCCTACCAACCTCTACCCAGAATGCTCAGATTCTAGCTATTTCCTTTTATTGAGTACCCACAATGTGCTAGGCACTGTGCTAGATATTTTACATACATAATCTCATTTAATTTAATCCTCACAACAACCCTGTGAGGTAGGTATTTGCTCCATTTCACAAATGGAGAAATTGAGGCACAAAAGATTAAACATCTCACCAAAGTTTGCATAGCCAGTTATATGCTGGAGCAAGAATTTGAACCCAGGCGTGCCTCCACTTCTTACACCAGGGCATCTTTTCAAAGGGAAAATTGTCTAAGTTAGTACCCTCCCATCGTCTTGAGGCCATTTCAAAGCACACTGCCTTGTTTTACAGAAACCCTCACTCTACTTCTGCTGCCCCCAAACAGTGGAACCAGAGGACGGTGAGTCAAGTGAGCAGTCTAGGACAAGGTTGAGCCCTGTAAGCGCCTGTAAATGAGCTTTCAAGAGCCTGTGTAAGAGTTGGGGGAGGGAAGTTCAGCAGCATTGCTTCCCACCAGCACTTCTCTCTCTAGGGCAAAGGAGCAGAACCAGGCCAGGTGACCCAGAGATGTCACCAGCTGCTCAGGTGCAGAGGCAGCATCTTCCCTACAGCTACTCGGCTTTCCACTTCGCCTTCTTCCTTGCTTCGCTCTATGTCATGGTTACCCTTACCAACTGGTTCAGGTAGGATGAAAGCAGACATAATACATTCTCCCCAAAACCTAGCTATTTTAAGGAAACAATTCAAGACCCTTCTGGAGTTCTTCAGAAAGACACACAAAGATGTGGTGAGGTTGTGGGGAAAACAGGGCAGAAGCTAAGGCCCTGCGCCACCCCTAATCAGCCTTTGGTTTCACAGCTATGAGGGAGCAGAACTGGAGAAGACCTTCACAAAGGGTAGCTGGGCTACCTTCTGGGTCAAAGTTGCCTCCTGCTGGGCCTGCGTACTCCTCTATCTGGGGCTGCTCCTGGCACCATTCTGTTGGCTCCCCACTCAGAAATCCCCACCACCCTAGCATTTCTCGGCCAGGTCAAAACTGGCTCCCCAACTATTGTAACAAACTGAGAGACCCTTTAGATTATGCTCCTAACCTTGGCTCCAAAGCACCCAGCCTAGCTCAGGACCTCAAGGACAAATGAGCACTTACTAGCGCTTAGGTACAATACTCCACCAAAGTAACTTGGAAGAAGTGGCCAAACTAGTGACTTCATTCAGGCTCAGGAGTCTAACTCCCAAGTCAGTAAACTTGGGAGCCTTAGCTGATCCTAGAAGTGTGGCACAAGCCCCTTCCTTGCTCCTGAGCTGGAGACAGGGGCGGGGAAAGACCAACAGAGGCTGAAGATTTGGGGCTGCTCTTGGCAATCCAAAGGAAACAAGTGGTTTAGACCTGGGCACAGGGATGGAAGAAGCCCAGAACAAACCAGGGGACAGGAAAGAATAGAGCAGAGTTTACCACAGGTTTTAATACTGAACTTGAGGTCAAAGGAAACAGAAGACAAAAACCACCTTCATTCCATGAAGAATGACAGAAGAGAATGTGAACACATGAGAGCAGCTGACCACTAGAAGTTGGTGAGCAGAGGGACTGTTTTTTTGGCCAGCTTTCAAGCAAACAAAGAATGAGGAAGAGACATAACATAAACTTGGGTCTTAGATCCTCCCCTTCTTATGGCCCTCAATACCATCCTAGGGCTGGCTGGTTCAAGGTCTAAGCGGGAGATAAAAAGCACAGAAAAGAAGTCTCTACAGTTCTTAAGAGGGCTCCCCTACCACATAACTGGAATGCTTTTCAGGTTGTCATAGTAAAATAAAGGCTTGTTCTGTGATGTTCCCCTTATGAAGTCTACAAACCCATCATCTCCTAGGTGTCTAAAACAACTCTACCCTTTTAGTTGGAAAGGACAGTCCCTTCTCCATCCCCACCCCACCCCCAATCCCCAGTCAAACCAGGCGCTCAAGGAATTACAAAGCTACTTTTAATACTTTGGGGTGTGCCCCACAGGAATAAAAAACACTGGGAAGGGGTAACCCCTCACCCCCAGGAGTGGCCCAAGGGGAGAGAGGCTACCTGAGGGGAAGGAAGCACAAAAGGAACCCGCTGCAGACTCAGGGCAAAGGGAATGCCATCGGTGCTGGGACCTGTGAGCACTACAGGAAGAAACTCGAGCATGGTGGGACTGGCTCCAGGCACACAGGCGTAGGGCAAGAGGGTTGGACACGAAGCCACAAAGCTACTTGGGTTCCTCCTTCTTCTCGTTTGCCTTTTTCTGCTTCTGCTGCATGATCTCCGAGTCCCTGGGGGTAGAGATGATGGGGCGCTGGGAGGTACCAGAGGGCAAAAAGGACAAGATGCAGGGGGATGAAGGGTACAGAGGATAAGATGGAAGTGGATGGGGCAAAGTTCAGCATATGGCTGCTATATCCCCACCCTAGGAGAACAAGAGGAACAGCGCTAGGGCTCAAAAGGCAATCAGTCTCCATTTGGCTGTTGCCCAAGGGGTCAGAAGTCTGGCCACTGGAGCCCAAGGCTCTCTATTCTGCATTAAGTACCACACCCAACGGACACTAGTGAGAAAGTGGGGAGAAGGGAGGAGGGACAAGCAGCAAGGAGGGCCAAAAGTACAGGGCTGTCAAAAAACAACTATATTTGATATGTATGTGAAGCCCCTGCCTTTGCCCTTAAGGTCACAACCCCGGCACTCGGAGATCAGCCTGCCGACGGGGACCCGCCCCAGTCCCTTCCTGTGTGGCTGTGACCTAACAATTTAGAGTGGGCAGGAAATAAAACCCTAGAGGGAGGCAATGCACTCTGCCCCTCGCACCTAACCCAGACTGGAGCCCTGAAATAGTTCTCTCTCCTGGTACACCCCTCGGTCTAACCCAGGTCTCCCCGTCCGGACCCGTCCCGTCCGTTCCCCTCCCTGGGGCTACCTCTGCTTGCGGGCGGCAGCAGAAAGCCCATCATCTCGGCGCTTCCCCTTAACCGAGTCGCTCTGCTTCTTCATGTTCTTCTGGCGGGCGAGCTCTCGCTGGTTACCGCCTAAGGAGAGAAGGTGGAAAAGTGAGACGCCGGGGCCGCTCCACGCACACCCCAGCGCCCCTCCTCCCGCAACCCGGACCCGACCCGCAAGCCCCCGGCCGCGGCGCAGACCCCCCCCCAACAGCGGGGCTCCGGAGGCCGGGGTGTGGCGGCCGCCACGGGGCAGGTCAACTCGGGGGTGCGGGAGGACGGTGCGGTCGAGGCTGCTGGCGGCGCCCGTCAAGTTTGGGGCAGCGCGGGGGCCCAGACAGCTGGTGCGGAGAGCGGGGAGCCCCGGGACGTCAGGGGCACGCGCCGGGGGCCCGCCGCCCCGGACACCCGGCTCCCCCGGGGCGGAAAGCCGCCGGCGGCCCGCGCCCAACACAGGGGTCCCTCGGCAACCGGCGGCGTGCAGAGGGCTGCGCTTCCGGCTGGGCGGGAGGCAGCCGGGGAGCGCTCCGCTGAGAACCTTCCGCCGGGGAAGCCGGGGGGACGGGGGGGGGGGACGCCCACGGCGGCGCTCGGCCGCGCGGCGAGCGGGCGACGGGAAGAAAGAGGAGGGAGGAGAGGGTCCCGGCACTCACGGGTCATGGCGACGGCAGCGGCTCCGACCTGCCTCCGTTGCGTCCCCTCGTTCGGGCCGACGTTGCAGGCCCCGCCCCCTCCGCGCGACGCCACCGAGTCGTCTCCTTCCTCCCCGCCCCTCCACGCCCGGGCGCCCGCTCCCATTGGACGGCGGGGAGCACGTGGAGCGCGGTGCCACGCGCCAGTCCCGGAGGGCCAAGGGCCGGGCTCCGCGGGCGGAGCGCCTGGCACGGGGCGGGGCCTCCCGGGAGCGCTGGGTCCGGCCCGGGGAAAAACTAGGCCGGGTCACGTGGGCGAGGCGAGGGGGGGGTGGGCAGAGGGGTGCGGCTGGCGATGTGGCGCTCCGGCGGGGCCGAGCACGTGACGGGGCAAAGTGACCTCATGTGGGACAGTTTAGGGGACTGACGAAAGTCGCCCCGAAGGAACGCGGCGGCGGGGTTCGGGGGGCGGGATTTCCTAGGGGCTTCATCCGGTTGTGTGCTCGCACTTCTCGGGAGCTAAACTTAGTGCTCTTGCCCCACCCCCCTCCCCAGCCTCCCGGCCGAGCACTTGGCACAGTTCGTCCGAAAACATAACACGACTGCCCACAGGAACTTTGTGCCCTGGGGGTGACAGAGCGCACCCAAACCTGACTGTGGAGTTACTTCAGGAGCTGAGATTGGGAATGCTCCTATTATTTCTGCATCTCGCCCTCTCTCTAGAGCGTTTCTGCATTGTTTAATCCCCCCATTCCCCCGCTCCCCAGACGTTACATCTGGCTTGTAAGAGAAATCAGACCGGTAACTAAAAACCGAACTCATTTTCAGTTGCTATAGCACGGATGGGGTTCCTGGAGACGGGAATAGTTAAGCTTTCTCTCCCTTCCCAGGTCCAAGACAACCCGAGTTCTGCTCAACTATCATGAAACAATCTCAACGCAGGTCAGAACGGTAGGATTAGCGTCCTGCTGCCCAGGCCCAGGACAACCTGAGTTTTAAGGTCCTTTTTCCTGTCTAGTACTTTCACTAGACAGCTGAAATCAGAGATCCCTCTTGACCCTTGCAACGAGGTCACCCAAGACCACTGGACATCTACAACTCGTAACAGCAAACTAACAGTTAGGAAGTAGCAATGAAAATAATTGGGGTTCACCACAACATAAGGAACTGTACTAAAGGGTCGCAGCATTAAGAAGGCGGAGAACCGTTCGGGAGTTTATAAAAGTAAGGCATTTCCTTTGTCCTGTGACAGTGTTGCAGGTGACCGGCATTAGCAAAGCATATTTTTCCTGGAATCCGTCTCAGACTAGTCTGAAAAGAATCTTCCTGGCAGGGTACTACGGCTCGTGGAGAACAGAGGCTCTCACCTGCACGACTTGTTGAGGCAGTCTTGTTTTTGCTTCATACCCCAATCTTACTGGCCCGTGAGCTCCCAGGCAATTCTCCTGTCCCCACTGTGGGAGTGCGCCAATTAAAGATGTGCTCTGGAGAGATGGTTCAGAGGTTAAGAGCACTGGCTGTTCTACCAAAGGTCTTGAGTTCAATTCCCAGCGACCACACACACACTGTGGCTCACAACTATCTATAATGAGATCTGGTGCCCTCTTCTGGTGTGTAGGCATATGGTGTGCAGAATACTGTATAAATAAATCTTAAAAAAAAAAAAAAAAAAAAAAAAAAGATGTGTACCATCACATTCACATGAAGACTTTTTATCCGGGTTTCTGGGACTGGACACAGGTAGAGAGGCCACTGCCATTACCTACTGAGCCATCATCCCAAAAACAGGATCCCCCCCACACACACAAGTAAAATTGTTCAAAGTCTTCATTCAAATTATACTGACATCTGTTTTGATTGGTCAGTGCTTATGCTGTGCACCCTGGGAGAAATATTTTTAATATCACCCCTGCATCTGGTTTTTCTTTAAAGCAATTGTCACAATATCAATTTGCATATATCTATATACACACATGCAGAGTGAAAGCAAATTACGTTTATTTATTGTGTGTATAAACATGTACCATGGCATGTGGGTGGTGGTCAGAGGTCAGTTTTCAGGAATTGACCTCTGATTAAGGGCAGGTGCCACTGTGCCCAGCCATTTGTATTAATTTCAAATAAAAGATATAAATAAAGCCAGGCAGTGGTGGTGCATGCCTTTAATCCCAGCACTCAAGAGGCAGAGGCAGGCCGTCTATGTGAGTTCGAGGCCAGCCTGGTCTACAGAGTGATTCCAGGACAATCAGGGCTACACAGAGACACCCTGTCTTGAAACACCAAAAAAAAAAAAAAGAAAGAAAGATATAAATAAAACTTTGAAACACCAAAATGAAATAAAGCCAATACATTCATGTATGTGAATATCACATGGTAAGTCCATGAACTTTTCATTGAGACAGGGTCCCATGGGGCTCTGGTTAGCCTAAAAGT